TTGTCTCTTGATTCTAGTTGCCTATTTAAACATGATCTGATTATTAATTAACCTTGGGTTGTAATTTGAAGTGTCTTTGCACGCTAAACTCTGGTAAGAAGTTACACCAGCATGAGGTCCCTTCTTGGACTTAAAATGTGATGAATTACATTTTGATTTATTGATGCCAGACTTAAGAAGAACAGCGGCCTGGTTACCTTTTGAAATTAACTGCAAAATTCTGTTCTTGTCACAGTTTGGTTAGGTCCTTAGGCAAAATGTAATTGCTGTTCCATATCAATTTCTAGCTATACTTTGCTGATTTTCAAGGTAAATTATGTTGCCTGAATTTTTTGATTCACTTTGATGAGATAGTAATTTAGTTAGTTCCTGTTATTTTCCGTTGGTGAGAATTTTTGAAATTAATCTTTACTGACTATGCCCTTAAGACCTTGTTTGAAACTTGGTCCTTTGTGATAGTATGCTTGGTTTTGGTTGTGGCAGGATGTATAAGGCCTTCCACATTGGGTCTATTTGTTTGAGTATCCATTTGGGCATTCATATATGAATGCAAACATAGACATACATGAGCATATACATGCATACATGCATGCACACATGAGCATTCATGCATGCACACATGCGCATTCATGCATGCACACATGCGCATTCATGCATGCACACATGCGCATTCATACATGCATGCGCATAAAGGCATTCATTCATAAATGCATATACATGCATTCATCCATTCATGATCCCATATGTCCGAGTGATGCTTATCCGTCTCGGATAAGGTTCCATCTTTTAGTTGTACTCATCATTAGATTCCTTGCCATATTGTTGTGTTTGATGAGTACCGGGTATTGATTTGAGTCAAGGGCACCACATCATCACGCCGATAACTCTCGAGTTTAGTTACTTGTGTTGAGGCGTGAAGTTATCTCCTGCTTCCCAAATGGCCAATGGGGAGGGTGGAGATCAAGATTTGTTGTTGGCTTGTTAGAGCAATGATGATTACTCATTCCCTGTGAAGTGAATCTGATTATTATACCTTTGTAATTGTTAGTCGTGTATTTGAGATTGATTTTCTTGTTATTGTTGTTGATGCTAATGCTGCTACCTATTTTGTGTTTAAATTGGTGTGCAAAATGTGGTCCTTGTTTAGATTGTTCAGTTTGATATAAATTGTCATTCTAGAGTGACATTTGTTTTGTCTTCAGCCTGACTTTTAAAGTATTTAACCAGTTTTGTGACAGCTATCCAGTTGTTTCCTTGTTAGAAATCCTTGTTGGTTTACTTGCATCTAGTTACCTTCAAAGGGTCCAGCCATGAAACCTGTAGAGCTATGATGCCCCTCTTCTAGAGCTTGCCTTGTTTGTGGATTATTATTGGGAATCAGCAAATGAAATGGTGCAAAACCCAAACCATACCCTTTAGGGTTGCAGAACATTTGGGTGGGTATATACCTCCTGTGTTGTGCTACAGTGTCTTTTGCCGCAAATGAAGGAGTTGTTAGCTCAGGCGTCTTCTCTAGGACAAAAGTGTACTTTAAGGATATGCTTTAGATGGACTTTGTATATATGTCCCCCTAATCTAGGGATTTACTCTTGATTTTGCTATGTGCTGTTTCTTGACCATTAGGACTATGAAGGTCTTAAATTTAAGTTGGAGTCTCCAACCTCAAAATGGCTTTAGTTTTCTTGATGTTTATCTTAGAGCTTGGAATACATTAAGTTACTGGAATGTAATGTTAGTTATAGAGGCCATTGTTGGAACTCAAATTTTATGCAAGAAAAGTTTAGATCCTCCGTAATTCCTTGATTTGATTTTGCTTAATTCTTCTAAATTCTTAATTTAAGTTATACCTTTGAAAACATCTGGCTAACCAAATTTATTGTGAAAATGGGAAATTTGCCCACATGGATTTTTCTAAAGCATTTCTCTTGGCTTGCGCTAGCACTCTTTAAGAATTTTGAGCTATTCTTTCACAAGCTACCCATTGGGTTGGAGGCCATGATTTAGGTCTCAATTCGACCAGTGTGTCAAAATTCATGCCATGCCATTCCTTGTTAGCTCGTTTTTAATTTGGGTTCATAGCATAGTTAAACTGTTGTTTTCTGTAGCCTTGGTAAGAATCTCATCTGGGTTTCTTTGGAATGCAAATTAATTCTGCTCTATTCTGGTTCTTGCTCTGTCCTTCCGGCATTCTGTTTGTGTAGGGATTTATGGTCTCTGATTTTGTTATGACTTTCTCTGATTTGGAAAAGATCTAGAGCCTGATTTGGGGTTCATGACCGTGAAAAAGGTTTATCCCTTGATTAGCAAATAGCAATTTTGTAGTGGTGGCTTCATGATTCCCTCCGTTACTTTGATTTTTCAGAAATATTGATTGATTGATTCTGCACTGCTATGGCCACATGATGGTTGTCATATGATGGGCACTGGTTGTCTTAGATTGCGTGAAGCCATTCACCAGTCTAAATGATTCTAGATTTGAGTTTTGAGGACAAAACTCCTTTTTAGGAGGGGTGGATGTAATACCCCAAAATTTCTAGAGCATTAAAGTGAGTTAGGGACCTAATTGTGAAGAAATACTATTAATGAACTTAATGG